TTCTGATCAATAATAGCTCCTGATGCTGGTACTTCTAGCTCGCATTCACATTGGCACTTGTTACGCAACACCAACCTTTTAATTATAGCTGTTCTGGGTTTCTCAGACAACTTGATAGCTCATTCTATAGGTCTGTCAACTTGCCTCATTTCTGCTTTCACTTCCTAAGTGGCTTTTCCCTTCCATTTCTCAGCCCAAGTCAAGTTAATCATGTTTATTGGGGCTTCTGGGAATGGATATGTGCCAATCATCATGTTGGCCTAAGGTTTCTCCAAAAGCAACTTTCCCTTGACTATGAGGTCTTGTATCCAATCCCTGAACTAGACACAATTGGTTATGGAATGATTGAAAGTATAGTGTAGCTTACAATACTTCTTTCCTCTTAATTATTCTGGTTTAGGCATCTTTTTGGTGCTGTCAGGCACAATCTTTCTTACCCACACCAACTCTTCATAGATCTCCAAGGCTTTGGTTAAATTAAAAGAATAACTCTGGTATTTAGGGGGCTTCATAGAGACAAATCTACCATCATTCATCACCACTTTCTGGTCTTTGACTGGTTAGACTAAACCTTTTACCATCAAAGGTTTAAAGGGAGCAGTCATCTCTGCGGTACACATTTCAACTCCATCTTCTTTATGACCATCATTTTCTTCTGGCTTTACTCCTTTAAACTCTACTTTATGACCATCACTTTCTTCTGGTTTAAAGGGAACAGTCAAACCATTCTTCTTAATTCGGCCAATTCATTTATGAGCTTCTGGTTGGCCACATTGTTGTGTGGGGTATAAAGTGGTCCCCACTTCGGGTTACGATCATTGCCCGAGAAAGTCTCCTTCTTTGGTTTAGGCTGTCTCCATCTAGCATCCCATCCCTTATTAGCCAATGGTGGTAGCCTATAAGGGGGATGTTTGTCTGCAGTTGTGAGCTCACCTTTCCTGCTGGATTCTCCAATTAGTTGAGGCATCTCATACTTATTTCTTTCTTGCCCACTCTGCCCCCTACTATCTAGTGAAAATAATAGAGGGTCGAGCAATTATGTTTCCAAAATCTCCTCTAATATTGGCTGACTAACTCCAGATCCCTTCTTATTTTTCCCTTTATCCTTTTTTTCCTCAAGCAAAGGAAATAGGGGAATAACTAGTTCTTTCTCATGACTTGCTTCTCTCATCATTTCCCTGGCATAACCATTTTTTAGAGTAAAGTACTCTAGATCTAATCTTCTTTGTAGACTCCCTGTTAAGGAACAGAGTCTACTTACTTCTCCTCTGGTTTCCAAAGTAATGTTTTCTATACTTTTCAACACTTGCACCATGATGGCTTGCAAGTCTTCATCGGTCACCTTTCCTCCTGACTTCTCAGATGAATTCAGGCTTTCTAGAATGGTTAATCCTCGTAAGGAAAGGAAATCTTCTGAATGATCTGTCATGCTTGATCTTGGTAGACACTACGATGGCCCGTATTCCATATTCCACCTTAAGGTTCTTTCCTTTCTCCTCTTTCTTTGCATACAAGACTAAATAGGTCCCACTGGGCGTGCCAAAACTATGTTCAGGCAAAGATTTCTCTAGAGAAGGTCTCTGAATCTCAGCACAGCTCCCCAAGGAATTGGCACTTTGGACGTGTATCTTTGGTAGTAGGGCTCTTGCTTGCCTTATGTGCCATAATAAGAGCTTGAAGTTAGTTATGAAATGTGCCTTTATGGGGCCTTAGGTGTAGGCCTTGAAGCTCATAATCAAAACTAACTAAGTGCTTAGGCATGCCACTGATATCTCAGTATAGCAGATGTAGAACAACTGTGTTTCAAGTCGATTACTTGCACCCCAAGTTACTAAACTTCTTGAATCAAAGGATTGTCACAGATGGGTTAAGTCTTATTAATTTTTTTTTCTTGCCTTGTAAACAAGGGCTTTTAGTTCATGATCTCGTATGTTCGAATAGAGGGAGTCCGGATCTCCTTAAGTCATTTGTTTTGTTCCAAATTACTCTTAATGAAAATGAATCCATTCGATTGTCTAGATCCCGATGCAAATGAGACTCTTAAAATAAAAAACAAGGTGGAAATGACTTGAATACATGCTGAACAGTACATTAATCAATAGATCTACTAATTTAAAGAACAAACAAAGAGACTCATGCAAGATTTCACCTTGTCTGGAAAGGTTGAACCTCTTGCGTCTACTTCTCTTTGAGTTTACAGGGTATGCTAAAAAAGGATGGATGGTAAACAGGTTTACACTAAGGAATCGATACTAGAACACTAAGGAAGGTAGCAGAGTTTTTATACTAGACAAAAGACAGCTTTTACGAGGAAACTTTTGCTAAAGAGATTGAGTCTGAGTTGATTTCAGGCTTAAAGAGTACGAATTGGCTTGAGAGCAGAGTTTGTATGCTTGTTTGTTTAATCGGTTGAGTGTCCTTGTCTCTGTTGTTTCTTCTCCCTTTTATAGGCAATTTGGCCCGAAGGTTAGGGTATTGCTCTTGCCCAAAGGCTCTTGATGGGTAGTGAGTCATCAGCTTTTTACATGTAGTGCCACTGGAAAATGTTTCTTGGCTGATAGTAGGTTAGTCTCCATCACTTGTCACTTCAGTTATAGACACGTGTTTTATGTCTTGGCTGAAAAGGCTTCGGTTTACTTCTGAGCCTCATGCTAGTGCTTCGGGCAAGTCTTCCTTTAATTTGGCATTCTTGGGCTTTCATTCATTCAAGCCTAATATTCAAATATTAACCCAAACGGTAACAAATTAGTTTGGTAAATATTTAACCCTAAGATTGAGTAGTTTAGTTAAACCATCTGAATTAGTTTGTTGTACATCTTGCTTAATAATATAAAATCGGCTTAGCTTAACTCCTAATTACATATCAGCTCTAGCAACCTCTGCCACCTCATCCAAAAATCCAGATTCGTTCAAGCTTCTTCTTTCTAGGCCATCTTGCACAAGAATATATGGATGCTACAAGCCAGCCATTCGTGCGCGAGCACACATAGAGTAGTAAGAAAATGAAACAATGGGAAGAACGATCGGCTAGAGGAAGAAAAGATGGCACTAGTATAGAAGGAAACAATGGGAGACCTTGATATCTCGACTACTCCTACGTTGCCATTAAGCATTGTCCTTCTCGATGCTACCAGAAACTTTGAGTCGATTAATGTTCATATTAGTATAATGTCATCTTTTTATGGTTTAAATCTAAAGATCCATTGACTAATGTTACAGATATTCTAACATGGTTTCTAGGAGTCACTGGAGAACATCTTAGGATGAAATTTTTTCGTTACAATGAAACACAAATGATCGAGTAAACAAATTGTTGAATCGTTCTCAAGCCTTGTAAAACGTCTCATTTGTTGATTGAGTGAATTGCATGATCTTGTCTTTCAGTTCATTAGTCTTCTGAGTTGAAAAGAACTTCACCAATAACTTGTTTTGAATGTCATTCCAACGAGTCAGGGATCCAGGCCTAGTCATGTCTTTGCTTTGTCATTCCAACTTGTTTTGAATATGCAGCCATGTTGATTTTCAATACGTAATCCTTGTTAAAGGTAGAAATAAAAGATAGTTTTAATTGATTAGTAAGAGTTCTATCCTCCCATTACTTCGCTGATTAGAACCTAATGGATTGCACACTGATAAGCTTAAGGCTTTGGAAACTTAAGAAGATGGTGAGGTCAATTAATTAGAGCATCTCCAATAGGAGCCCCTACTTGGGGACTCCCACCACCACCTTTTAAGGACTCATTTAGGAGCTTTAGAGGAATATTCGAGTCCCTAAAAGAATATTGTCTATAATGAAAATTCCTTATACTATAATCCCTAAATGCAGGGACTAAAATATTAAAAAAATTATTATTCATATCATTCAAATATTGTAACCATTGATAAGAAACAAATAAAAATAAAAAAATAAAAAAAAAACTATCTCTACCATTGATTTTTCAAGAATTATAAAAAAGAAATGCAAATGAGAAGTTAATCCAATTGGGTGGGTTCAAAAAACAAGAAAAAAAAAACATAAAGAGCAGCACCGTTCCCATTCAAAATTAATATGGAGTCCACTATTTGAGTCCCTATCTGTAGTCCTTACATTTAATAATTTTGAGGAGGTATCCAGCGAGTCCCTATGTATTGAGATAATTTGAGGACTTCAATTCCAGCCCATTGAAAGTCATTTGTCCCTATATTTAGGGACTATACGGTTGTAGAGACTCCATTTAGGGTCACCATTGCAGATGCTCTTAGTGTGGGTAGGTTAAGATTAGTTAATTAATTATATGTACATATGATATTGTATTGAGCCTTAAAAGTAATTTTCGGGTTCCTAGGACCATTGGGTATTTAACTCAAGTTGTGCATGACAACTTAAGTGGGAGATCCCAAAAGACCCACCTACGCTAAATGGCCGGTTTGGGGAGTAAAATGGCCAAGGTTTCACACAAATGACCCACCTATATAAGCCACTTCATATATGCATCTAACTTAGCGGTTTTGGAGAGCAAAGAAAAGGAGGAAAGCCACCATTCTTCTCATTCTCTCCACAAAACTTAGCTACTATGAGGAGAGAGTGCTAGCACAATTCTCTCTTCATATATAGTCATCTCATCTTTTTTTCAAATCAAGGTTGGTGAAGATACTTAGAGGTCATCTATCATGGTGACTTTTGGAGATCTTACTCACACCTAGAAGAATGCAAGGAGAGCAAATGAAGGCTACATCTTTGAAGGTCTTTTCCTCAAAGGTGATAACGTTAGTTCTAGGAACCAAAGAGAGCTTCAAGAGTATTATCATATCGTCCTTCAACTTTTGTTAGGAACAATATCAACCCTTAGGCCATGAAGATTTTGTAAAGGATTTGGTTTTTGAATATACGCATATCTAGCTTTTGCATTTAATTTGCTTTTAAGCATGAGTTAATTAACGAATCCTCTAATTTCATACATTTTTTCCTTCAACAAGGGAATTGGTCATATCAATTTACAAATTCTAAATTTTGTCCAAATTTCAAGTTTATTTCCTATCATCCTAACGAACAGTAAGTGAAAAATGGTAAGACGTAAAAATGGGAACGCCCAACCAAAATTCAAAATCTATATTTCTGTATATACAATATTTGAAGAAGTACTAAATCGCAATATTATATAATATAGTTAAAGAACATAAATTAACTATAACTAATCATCTATAAGGTTTTTCTTAGAATTCCTATGTTGTTGAACGACCAAAATTGAACCATTGATATTAAGATCTGAAGAAGCCAAGAGATCCCCAACAGTTCCCAATTCAGGGCACTCTTCCCAGTCACTTAGTTCAGTTGTCAATGGAGAGTGTCCTCGTCCGCCCTTCCCTACTATAAAAAGAGAATACAAGTCCCCTATGTCTCTTAGAGCTGCCACTGTTTCTGCTCCATTGTTCACCTGCTTTTCAACATACCCAACTTTACCTGATGCCACATACCTAGCCAACAAATTAAGAAACAAATGTTTAGAATATATAAATTTGCAAAATTAGTTAAATTAATTTAAGACCTTTTGCCTAAAATTATAAGAGACTCAATTATTTTTACTCGTCGAGAGTTGCTTTTAAGATCTTGGCAATGCGAATTACGACATGTCTGCAGAGAAAAGAATTTGTAGCTAATAGTATAGCTAACTATAGTCTTGCTCTACACCTATGAAATCACTATTTTGATAATCCTCCTTGTTCAAATGTTTGTTTATGAGAATCGACTTGGGATCTCGCCTAGACTTATTTTTGCTTTGTTTGTTTGGGCTATAAGCCCCGTTTTCAACCAAAAAAATGATATGATGTCCCATATAAAGTGACAAATATTAGACTTCCATATCCAAATTAATTAAGAAAGAATCGTACGTACCCATTATAAAAGTCATTGAGAAAAGCATTGTCAATGTCATTCCCGGTTTCTAAACTCGACAAAGCCATGAAAACTTCAATGTCATTATTCCCCAGTTCATTCTCCACCTTCATATTCCTCGTATTCGACGATTCTGCTGGCAGAAACCTAATCACTGTCAAATTAACTCTAGGATGATTCGCGATCCTTGTACTCCAAGCAATCGCCTCGCGGTCATCCGGTCCGCCAAAGAAGAGGGTTGCAACATGTTGCACAACGTCCACCGTGAACAACTGCGAAAACCCTAGCGCCCCAGCAAGCCCCTTTTCGACAATAATCCCAACGGAACTCGGAGCATGACGAAGAATTTTTTGGTTTGTCGTCCGCACCGCCTCTTTTCCAGATTCCATTTTCCCGTCGATTCTTTGATGCTTGTGAAAGGGCAATAAAATGACAGTCGCACGCAAGTCCTCGGCAGCGCTGCACACGTCCTCATGCAAATTCGACACTGTCGAGACGGCCTTATTGAGGTTGATTAGTATTCGAGTCTCAGCAGTGAAGGCATCCACAGCTGCGTGGATTTCGAGCACATCGTTTCCGCCGTACTCTTCTTCGTCGCTCATTTCGTCAGCCTCCAGCTCGTGATACGACACGTTGGTGCGGCTTTTCCGATTCAGCTCGATCAGGTGGGCCATGTAGGGCATGATGGAGGCTGTTGGGGAGCCCCGCATTGATGCGATGACCGAGAGTATGGCTGACATGTGGCGAGGGCCGTACACACAGGCCAGCAGTCGAAGCTCACTCTGATCGGGCTTTTCCAGCTCAAAGCCAAGGGATGTGTGTGTATGAGTGAAGAGTCTTTCTTCTCTTTTCATTAACAAAGCCACAACTGGCCCTGATATTACGGTGTTAATCACTATTGTCATTAGTAACAAGTTGTAAGCCGTCGGGTTCCAAGTCTGAAACAATAGAAAAATGAAAATTTAATACCCAATTAATTTAGGTAAGGATGCATGGAATTGGTGCATGAAATCTGCAAATAAAACTACTTACACCACACGTACGAAACAACCAACTCATTTGAATAGCCGTGTCTCGTGTCTGTTATTCGAGATGACTAGTGAATGTGGTATAAGTAGCGTTAATAAAGTTTCCTCTCGGCCGTTTGAAAGATGGGATCAGCAATATAGTCATTAAACATGTTACTGATATATGCAAGATTAGTCTTTTGCAGTTGAATGTGCAATCAAAATTTCCAAACAGCGTAATCGAAGTTAAGAACCTTACAACTAGTGCCTTTGAGGCGCTGCCAACAAACAAGATGTCAGCATGTCCCTTCAAGCTCAAGACAAAACCAAGGAAAAGCCCCTCATTTGGTGGAATCTTCAAATAGTGGCAAACCGCAAGAGTTCCACCAATCTTGCTACTGAGGCTCAACAGCACAAGTATGAACACAATCAGTACATTTCTCCAGCTTTTCAAATGACTCGCGTCAAATTGGAAGCCAATATAGCCGAAGTAAACTGGGAGTACAAAATTGTGGACAGAGTAAGTAAGTTTGTGCAACAAAGTTCTTGCCGTTTTGCCTTCCTTGGGGAACACCATGCCGGCAACAAAACAAGCTATCACACTGTTAAACATGCGCATTTCAATGATCATTGAACCAGCTATTAGAATAGATAAAATGAGAAACACCTCGGGGTTTCTGAGGTACTTTTGCTTATTGGTTCGTTTGTTCAACCAGACTGCCAAGTACTTGAACCCAAAAAGTATTGGAACCATGCCTAGGAGGATCAAGAAGCCATCCCGTATATTAGTAACTTTTGAGAACGCGATGATCAAATTGAAAACAAGTAAGCAGGTAAGTTCGACGACCATAGCTGCAGATGCTGCCAAGCGACCAATGTCAGAAGTTGAAAACCTTAACTCTGCTCCTAAGCGATTGACAACTGGTGAAGATGTGTACGCTACAAGTAACATGATGCAAAAAACGAAACTAGCGTTCAGTTTGGCATTTTCAGCCATTAAGTGCTTGGAGATAAAGAAGGAGGCAACAAGGCCAAAAATGCCGCCTACTGAGGCACCACCGTAGGCAACGATACACACAATGCGTAGGTTGTGGCGTATATAAGCAATGTCTATCTCCAAACCGAATAGGAACATGAAGAGAATCCGGCAGAAGAACCCGAACATCTCGTAGTATTCTGCAGCAGAAGCTTGAAAGAAGAATTCTTTTATTTCAGAAATATTAGACAACCCTGACGGACCCAACACCAAACCAGCCTGAATATATAAAACAAAATAGCATGTACATGCGAGTTAATTTGACATATTTTGTTATGAGACGATCAACCAAAATCACATGTTAATTGCGACCGATGATTTCTATTAACAAACCAAACCAGCCTAATATAACATGTGTATGCGAGTTAATTTAACAAGTTACGAATGTTATGAGACTATAATCCGAATCCCAAGTTCGAACATGAATACCCTCGATGACCGATTCGGACCGACAAATGTATTTGCAGATGAGGAAAATGATATACTTACAAGAATCTGAGCAATGGGGCCTGGTTGTCCCAAGGCCTTGAGAAGAATGTGAAAGAAATGTGAGATGACAAGGATGCAAGCTACTTGCATGCCCATGGAGGATAGAGGGTTGACCAAATCGTCTTGGCATACGAATTTGTGAGTAGCCTCCATTTTTGTGAGGAGTATGGAAATTAACGTAAATGAATATGTTCAGAAATATTGTATATTGATCGGAGGAGGAGACAAAAGACCTGCAGATTTGTTTTGTTGTCAGAGATGCAACAAAGAGGTTATGGTTGTGAGGAAAGAGGTTATGCAATGAAAAAAATAATTCCTCTCCCAAGGCCAGAGGAGAGAGAAAGTGGGGAGAGAGAGGATTTTTTTTTTTTGTGTTTTTTTTATCGTTTAATACGCCACGTGTCGTCATTTCCAGATGTCTAGTAAATTTGAAATAGTCAAGCTGGTCTCCTTTTTCCTAGCCCAAAACTATACAGTATAAAATTAGTTTGGTACAACATTTTAACCCCAACACAGCACAAACAGGTAAGAAAGAAAACTTAGAACACAATCCTGGACATGTACTATTAGATACAATCATCCAAAATTTTAAGTTTCATATTATCGCTTATTAACCATCGCAGACGAATGAGCTTCGTTCAGAATTTGACATCACCTTATCTCTCAACATCTGTCTTTCTTCGGCGGTCCAATCAGCTATCATATCTAGCACATTTTGTAGGAAAACTTCGTCGTACGATAAACTAACCTGGGATTGTAAAGAAAATCACAATCAGCAGCATGTAGTATTTAAGAACAAATGAACTAGTCCATTTGGGTGGCGACTCGAGCTATGCTGCTGGTCTTCTTACCCAGCCTTAGGGCCGGAATTCCCTTATGGGGGTCTTTGCTTAGCTGCTGGGGTCCTGGAGTCTTTCCTGGACCCTTTTCTTCTTGTAGTTTCTAATTATCTTAATGAATTGGTCTTTGTTAAAAAAATATAATTTACATTTACTTACTGTAATATATGAATTAATAACATCAATAATACGCAGATCAGAATTTAACATCAGGGTTGTTTCTTCTTCCCCTGTCACGTACAACCACCCTCTTCTTTTCGATTGATAATGCCAGAGCTCGACAAATGCATCGTCGTAAGCAATGAGCTTGGAGCGGAGCTCAAGTGGTTAAGCGTGTCTAGTTTAACACTGCATCGAACTATCTACCATGACATGAGCCATTGCCACTTTTACCACACTGAATAGCATAACTATATACGCGACTTAGGTTTGTTCATCAGGATAATGAGTTCGCCTCCTTGCACCCAAGTTCGAATTCTTCTAGTTTCAAACTTCGCATGTAAGAAAAACAAATAACAGATCTATTCAAGTGGGATGAAACAAAGACGAACTTGTGTTCACTCTCTCCCACAAAATATCATTAGGTTGTTCAAATGGATTCATCTCAACAAGTTTGAATTATTTTAACCTTCCAAGACTAAACCGGAACAATGATTTGACTATGTTCGGTCCAAAGTAAACGTTTACTCCATGCCTAAGATTTACATCACAAATTATTCCTCTGTAAAAGGCACAAACTGAAAGCAGCTAAAATGGAAAATAGGATTACACCTGAAAATTTGAAAGGTTTACACACAAAATGACGCCGCTGAAGCCACCTCGTGCCTCAGTAGAGTAGCTCCTTGAAAACAGGGTCCATCTGTTGTCCCCATTTCCCATTGTACAATTCCAAAAGCTTCTCAGCTGGTGTTACACCTGCAATATAATTAACGTTCGACGTAAACACCATATTCCCCCGAAAAGGAAAACCTACAGAAACTATAGTGCACATCATGGTCGATAATAGAAAGTTGGCTTGGCTTTTCGAAAGAGATGGTGCAACAGCGCGATCATATGGGAAAATAGAAAAACAAAAGAGATACGAGAGGAACTCCCCATTACATACCAGTTCTAACCACCTCCGCCACCTCATTCAAGAATCCTGTTTCTTTGAAGCCTCGTCTTTCCAGGCCATCCTGTAGAAGAAAGGATGCCATAATCTAGTCATGCACAGACACAGGCTCACAAAAACTTAAAGAGCACCGAGAGAAGCACAATTTACCCTTGCCAACTTTACAACATCTTGAGCTACATGCTTGAGCAATCCATCCCGAAATGGCGTCTTTAGACCAGTTATGGGAACCTACTAAAAGTAACTTTACAATTAGGTTTGCAAATTAATCACTGTTTAGAAATGTAAGAGGTTTATCTCTAATAAAGAACAGAAGTACGAAATTTATCCTGTAGTTCAAACTTCAAACTTCATAAATAAATATAGATTTGAAGGAAAGCTAAACAAGCAAATTCCAAAGCCGTGCAATTTCGCTATTGATTTTATTAGGAGGAAACAGAAAGACAGAAGATTGGTCACAGGTTCAGAAGATTAGCAAACGGGAAAGAAATTAGTAAAACATATCACTAGATCCCTATAGCTGGACTTTGACCACAATGGATAGGCCATCTAATTTCCCTGGCTGCCCACATTGTGATTCCATTCCAGCACCAAATGTCTCTTCCTAGGCTCCAAAAGTGGCATAAAACAAGTTACAAACAAGTGCAAAAAACTAGCAACCTGACAGCATAAGCCGTATGTGCAAGTGTCAACCACTCCCCCAGGGTGATTTTTTCTCAACTTTTTCAAAGGCACATAATGTCTAGAATAGAGCTCAGATGACACAAAGTTTGAATTCATGCATGCAAAGATAAATGAAAAGGAGTTTTATACTTTCTTTTCATTAAGACAAACAAATGGGCTTTGTTGTATAGGATCACCTTATTTCTCAGCATCTGTCTTTCTTCAGGGGTCCAATCAGCTGTAAGGTCTAACACATTTTGTAAGGAAACCTCGTCGTACAAAATACCTACCTGAAGTTTGAGACAAAATCACAATCAGCTTATGTTGCTGGCTATCAGTAGTTAATAGCATAACCTGCAGAAGCTAGATAGCTGTCATTCAGAGATGTTTTAGCATTTCACAGACAACACATGAGCCACAAAGGATGAAAAAAGAAACACCGGTAGATATAAGATGATAATTATTTGTTCTATCTGTACGTAATTAAGAGAAGATAATGTTAATAAAAAGTGAAATATTTAAAATGTACGCTTGTGACTTGCATATAAGTTCAGATTAACTAGTTATGTATAAAGTGTCACTTACCCAAAATGCAGGCAAAGCACATAATCTCCTCCAAGGCCCTCCATCAGCACCCCTCATCTCCAAGTATCTTTTTAGCCTGACCTGAATGAAAAAATAAATATCGTATAATTAGGGAACAGCATTCGAAAACATGAGGAGGTAATTTGATTATTTGATGCTAGCATCAACCTCAGGGAATATAGTTGTCAAATGATTCTCCCAATCATTCAGGGTTGGCAATTCACCCGGAATGCAAGGAAGCTTCCCTGCCAAAAAGTCCTGTATGGAGATAACAATACCAATGTCTTCAAAAAATTAGTAGCTTGAAACAAAGATAACTACAGAAGAAAGCCTCAAATTACAAGACCGTAAAGGAAAGATAGAAACCCGGAAGGTCATTCCAGTGCAATCGATATACTTCTTGTTCCGATAAACAAAGTACATGGGAACATCAAGAGCATAATCTACATACTGCTCAAACCTGCATATCAAATAAAATAAAATAAACAATACATATAAAAATAATTGAATCATTAATAGATAATTGTACAACTTCGAACGGCGAATAAGCCTTCAGTAAGCAATGACCACACAAAAATGGCCACTAAAGTTACAACTGGAAATCAATTCAAGCATTACACACTATGCGCAGAGCTAAATAGTATAGACAATAGAAGTTAAGTGAATATATATATATATATACACACACATATATATATTTATATATCATCTAGAACCATTCTAAATTCCTTATACCATTCATGTACTCCATATTTCAATTCTCCATACAAAACCATTCATATAAAAAAAATCATTAACCAAACACAAACCAGACATAACTCCGTTTTTAGCATCCAAATAGAGCAGTGATAGAAAGTATGCCCAACAAGACTATACTTTGGTAAACAGCCAAAAGTTGTATATCCAAAGACCAAAATTGCACGCAGACCAAACATCAGAGAATGTTCTCACATCAGGTTTTGATTTGTTTGGCTAATATTTTTAAGAATAGCACATTAATGAACAAACAAAAAAGCAGATAAGGCATAACAGGGAGATCAAGGACCTGTTTCTTAACAGACACTGAACTTTCTATGCTAAGTGATGTCATCTATCATCAAATATTTGGATTCTGAAGTACAAAATTCTAGCCACAAAAAGCAAGTACTAATTCATAAAGTACAAGTAAAAGCCTTACCCAAAAGAGTCATCAAAAACAAAAGGAAGCATGCCAGCGCGATTATTGTCCGTATCAGTCCAAATTTGGCTGTTCCAACATGTAGAAAAATCAATAGAGATGCCGAGTCTCAACCAAAAACAATACGGACACCACAGAAAATTTTAATAGCATATATACGACAAGAACATGAGAACAATAGAAACCTTCTCATGCTTAGAAAACCATTTGGCTTTCCTTCAGTGAAAGGTGAATTTGCGAATAGAGCTGTTGCTATCTGTTTCATTTGTTGAGAGGTTAGATACCACATAAGTAACAATTTTACATCAAAACAAGATACCACAATTCCTCACAGGCTGCAAGGCAAGACCAGCACGAAATTTCCTTATCATGTCTGCTTCAGAACTGAAGTCCAGATTAACCTAAAAAGTTGGTTGGGGGGGGAGGGGGAGAAAGGATTTGCATGAGCTACAAATATTTGACTCCTCACCAAAATCAATGGAATACCAGATTATGAAACATAACTAGTGTAAGAAGTATTCGTCAAAAGTACCTGATTAGATTAGTAACAAAGATCTTACCTGTACAGTGCAAGTTCTGAACATCATATCAAGTCCAAGGGTGCCAACTTTTGGCATGTAATTTCTCATAATATCATATCTTCCCTGAACCAAAATTCTCAATCAGCATGCAACCAAAGTATATAAAAGCAATGAAAAGTGACATTATTAAAGCTTTTATTAGACCAGATTGGGACAACAAGTAAATACAGGATGAAATTTCAAAAGCAGCATTTGATATTAGCATCTAACGACAAGAGTTACTCATCTAATGACAAGAGTTACTTTAGAAGAGTGATGTGCATTCGTGTTCCTTTTCTCATTATAAAACTAATAAGAGGTTGTTTCAAGAAAATGATTAAAAATTATCCATCAAATAAAGCTGCAACCCTTCTATAGCCTTCCAATAACCAGTAAAGTGGAATAAAGAGGAATGCTTCAGCAACTGTGCGGCTGTGCATCTCAATTTCCAATCTAAACAAAAGATGGGTTCGTGCATTGCCATATGGTTGAGAAGAGGATTCAAAAATACCTTGGGCATAATAGGTATGTCCTTAAGTCCCCATTTGGGCTGAAAACCAATTCCAAGAAATCCGATTCCCATTTCCTCTGTAATTGCTTTGACCTAATAAAAGTTAATAGAGAACAAATTTACTCACCAAATACAAAACAACAATAAAAACAACAAATAGAAACTTCATTTGTCAACTAGACTTTACTTAAAATCAATTTATGCATGAAATATGACAATACTTTGCACTTCATTGTAAAGTACTGTTGTTTTTTCTGACCTGATAAAGGTGCGAATTGACTTCAGCACAAGTTTGATGCAGTGTCGCAAGAGGTGCGCCACTAAGTTCAAATTGACCTCCAGGCTCCAGTGATATGCTTTGCTTACCCTGTCCCATAATGTCATATATTTTTTTTCAAATGACAAGGGTTTCATGATAACTAATTTCAAATGGAAATATGAGGATGCATGAGTTACAAAGGGTTACGGAATATTAACTTCCGTATGACAGATAATCAAGGGAAGTAAAACAAATTATGAGCATCATCTAAAGTTGAAGAATAGAAGAAGAATACCTGTTTGAGTCCAATAATTTTGTCGCCTTCCATAACTTTTTCCCAATCAAATCTCTCGGAAATAACATTAAGCAACTCGGCTATTTGTTCATATTTTATAGGACGTAAGGTCTTTAGCTCAAAACCAAATTTCTCGTGCTCTGTGCCAATTCTGAGGATTGAGCAAGTGTGAATTTTCACTTATGACTAGTTATCCAACAAACTGGGTATATAGAGGGAGACATACAGAAATAAC